AATACATCAGTGGTCTTCCAAAAATAATTAAGGTTAGACCATCTGGGGTACGTGACCTCAGTACTGACCACTGAAAAAACTAAATGCCTAAACCTACTCCTCCATATTAATGTTGTGTTGAATTCGTCATTGAAATTATAGACAAAAAGCCAGACATTTTTATCACTGAAATATATGGTTGAACACACACATACCAGACTCTTTGATTCGTATACATGGCTAGACATTATTCAGAAAGGATTGCACAACCATAAATGACCGTGGGCAAATAAAAAAAGGTGGAGGGGTAGGTATCTATATCAAAAATTGTATCCAGGGCCTTCAAGTCTCCTCTGTAAGGCAAGAAGAATTTAATGTCGGGCTAACTGCGGTGGAAAGTGTTTTTGTCGGCCTGAGGTTTGGTGCTGTCTGGCTGCTGGTGGGGTGTATTTACCGACCTCCTAAACGTTTGTCTGAGGATAACAACTTGATCGTGGATATGCTAAACAGGCTAAACGATTCTTTTACCACAATAATCTATGGTGATTTTAATTATCCTGAAATAGATTGGTCCACCGTTAAAGTGACTAAAGATAGTGTTCCTGCTGAAAAATTTTTACTGGCCTACCAGGAATCAAGACTGTATCAGTTGATCGACTTTAATATTCGTTTTCGGGAGGGTACTGTCCCCTCACTACTTCACTTGTTCTTGGTATCAGAGGAAGGGTTGGTGATAAGTATTACGTCTGCACCCCCAATAGGTAAGACCGATCATGTTACTATTGTGGCCACAACCCAGATGACCCTACTTCCAGTTGTCAAAGCTGTAAAAACACACAAAAACCACTGGAAGGGAGACTACGACCCCAAAAATCATTTTCTTGAGCAATGGGAACCAAACAACAGCACAACCTATTATGATAACTTTGTCGAAGTAGTGGACCACATATCAGAAGTCTATGTGCCTCCTTCAGCGTCAAGTGGAGACCTTTAAAAAACCGTGGACTACTAGAGCTCATGTTAAATTGATAAACCAAAAAAGAAAAGTATGGCATTTATACAGAGGTTCTGGTGAGAATTGTAACCTACGGGCATACAATTCTGGAGAGCAGGGTCCAAGAAGGTTCTACCAGTATATCAACCGTTCGCTTCAATCTAGGCTTCAAAACTTTGTCTTAAGAGATTCAGACAACCATCTTGAGTCTGAACCAGAAAGAGTGGGGGAAATATTCAGCAATCAATTTGACAGAGTATTTATACACGAAGACACAACAACTATACCACAACTTCCCACAGCCGGACGGTCAGGACCCACACTTGAAAATATTGTTTTTACCCCACAGAAGGTGGAAGGTGCTGCTTGATCTGGAGCTCTCTGCCAGTCTAGGACCTGATGATGTATCCCCAATATTGCTAAAAAACTGCAGCGCGACCATGAGTGGAATCCTTGCAAGAACAATGGCAGAATCAATTACAGATGGCATAGTCCCAGAAGCGTGGAAAAATGCAATTGTCATTCCCATCTATAAGAAAGGCGATAAATACTTAGCTGAAAACTATAGGCCTATCAGTTCAACATCAATACCTTGCAAATGTATGGAAAAGATTATAGCTACGTGAATGACAGAATTCCTTATAACCCATCATGGTGATCGACTATCCAATCAGCATGGTTTTCTGCCGAGGAGATCAGTTACATCCAATCTCCTGTCCAGCCTGGAACACTGGACCAAGTCATCTGCAGAGCAATATCCGATTGAGGTTGTGTACCTCGACTTTGAAAAGGTGTTTGACATTGTTTCTCTTGAGAGACTGCTTCACAAGTTTGAGCATTGTGGTATACGGGGTCGGCTGCTTCGATGGATTCGGGACTACTTGTGTAGTCGGACATACCAAGTCAGAATAAATGGCGCCTTATCGGGCAAACGCAGTGTAGTCAGTGGAGTTCCACAGGGCTCTGTGCTGGGCCCACTTCTATTTATAATTTATGTCTCAGATATTGCCCAGAACATGTCCTGTAGGGCCAGTATGTATGCCGATGACACCAAGATATTTTGTGACCCTACATTCCAACATGGTGCCATGGTTGAGGATCTTGCTGAGCTGGATAGGTGGACGAAGGACTGGTTATTGAAACTTAATGTCAGCAAATGTTTGAATTGAAACTTAATGTCAGCAAATCTATATATATAAAAGAGCTTGTCCTGACTGATTATCAACGCCCAGCCAAAACTATTTAAGTTAGAGACATGAAATTTTCACGATATGTTCTATTACGTATTTGTAGGTGTGCTAAGAAAGGATTTTGAAAAATTTTATTTTTAAAGGGTTAAAAACAATTTTTTTAAAAATTCACATTTTTTCAGTTTTCTCGGCTTCTAATTAAGATATCGACTTCGTTTTTGTACTAAAATATTCTTTATATAAATACCTAAAAACAAATTAATGCTTTTTTGGAAATTCAAAGTGGAAGGGGCAAAAAAGGTTACACAAAAAATTTCGTTACAAATTCATTTAAGCTGTCATAACTTGATAATAAAATAAGATATCGACGCCATTCTCTTTCTGAAATACTTCTGAGAGGAATATCTAAAAACTAATTTTTCAGTTTTACGAAATTTTGCTTCAATCGGATTTTAGCTCGCCGAATATGTAAAACATGTCTACACTACATGTAACAACTTCGCGGTTTAAAATTAAATTTTTGCAAAATCCTTTAATAGCAGAACCAACTAGCGACTTGAATACATAAATCCTTTCATGGCACAACCAAAGATATTGGCACAACAACCAACAAGCATACATACATAACATTGCATAATCACAATAAGCACAATCCGTTCAGTAAGTAGCTCAGCGTCAGTAGAGTGTCCGAAACCATGTCAATCAGTCACCTCACCAACTGCACGGCATCAGCATTTAATATAAATTGTAAATAATAATAATATAATCAACCAGGCCATTGAAGACGATTATACGAACACGCAGATTATGACTGGAGGGTGTCATTATCTGAACTGAGTAGGGTAATATCAAGAGGCCTCCCCAGAAGTAATCGATGGTTTGTCGTCATCGAAAACAAAGCATACTGCCAAAGCACTGTCAAACACAACATTTTTCATAGACACATACCATAGATAATACCTACACAGCCTAATAAGTTGAAAAATCGTGGGCGAAGCCGTGACGGGTAATGCTAGTATTGTATATGATTCAACAATCCTATGCTGGACTAGCATATGGACAAAACAACTTGGAAAGGGTGACTGAGCAGGCCGACTCAGGAGTAAATATCTCACATGACCTAAAATGGGAACAGCACATACATGCAATCGTGAAGCGAGCCAACTCAACAGTCTATTTGATACGACGATGTTTCAGGGAAATGTCCCCTGAAGTGTTTCTCCGAGCCTACAAAACCTACATCAGACCACTGCTAGAGCATGCTGTTGTCGTTAGGTGTCCCTATTTCAGAAAAGACATAGATCTGATTGAGCGTGCCCAGAGGAGGGCAACCATTCCACCATCTTTAAGAGAATTGTCTTATGAAGAACGACTGAAAGCTCTCAATCTGACAACTCTGGAGGAACGCAGAAATAGAGGATACTTAATTGAAACATACAAAATCCTACATAATCATTACACATGCGACATTGATTTCTTCCACAGAAATATCAACCCTCATCTTCGTGGACACTCCCTGAAGCTCTCCACCGAACTTTGTCACAGACTTTCCAGGAAGAATTTTTTCATAAACCGAGTGGTGGAACAGTGGAATCAGCTCCCTGACGAGGTTGTAACCTCCCCTAGTGTGAATGCCTTTAAGAACAGACTTGATAAATATTTTAGTGATAGGCCGTAAAATAGTGTACTGGCAAGTAACATTCCCAGCACAAGAACTAATGACAGTCTACCGGTTTTTCCGCCTACTGTCAAAAACTAACTAAAAAATAATAATAATAATAATAATAAAGCAGACATTGATAGAGTAGCGTCAAATACCTGGCTTAAGAGAGGAAACCTGTTCCCAGAAACGGAAGGATTTATGATGACGATACAAGACCAAGAACAAGACCACATAAACACAAAAAATTACAACAAAAATATACTGAGAAATAATGTTGCATCTGAAAATGACATATGCAGGAAATGTAAAAACGCCTCAGAAACGATACAGCATATAACAGGTGGCTGCCCAATGTTAGCTGAAACAGACTATTTATACCTATAACCAGGTTGCTGCTATCATACACCAACAAATAGCTAAACATCTTAAGCTAACCAATGAAAAAGATGTCCTTTACTATAAATATAATCCTTCTCCCATAATTGACAACGAATCTTACATGCTGTATTTTGACCGCGCATTGCTAACTGATAAAACGATTATGGCTAATAGACCCGACATTACCCTCTACGATAAAGTAGAGAAGAAAAGTTATCTGATGCCGAAAATTCATAATATTCAGAGAACAATTGCAGAAAAAATCATTAAATATAGCGACTTGCGAGAAGAAATGACTTGAATATGGAAAGCAAAGGCAGTACAAATAATAAAGATCGTTATATCTACTAATGGATTAATCCCAAAGATCCTATATAAAGGCATTCGATCACTTAAGCTTCCACCCGATTTGTATGTGCAGATGCAGAAGGCCGTAATATTGAATACATGTCGAATTGTCAGAAAATTTTTGTAATATGATGCTTTCGGTGAAGACTGTTATACTGGCAATTACTTGCCATTCGGTCTTAGTTGCGGATTGACCAACACAAAAACTGAGATATTCAAAATAAAAAATAATATTAATCCACCTGCAAAATGGAAAATTTCTAATGCACAGGCTACGTAAATCAGGGCATATATGATTCGAAAGAAATCTCCTCTGTACTAAACATGAGAGTTTATTGCGCGGCTTGCCTTTATTTGTGAAAATGTTATGAATATGGAAAGTCTCTGCCCTGTTTGTAGAATAGATAAATACAAATAAAATATGTTGTTAATAAAGTCTGATTTTCAGTTATGAAGATAACCACTACGAATCTGATGACCCCAACACCAGCTTCGGCAGAGATATTATGCAGGCAGTGTGCAAAAATATTACTCCAACTCGAAAGGTGAGCTTTCAACATTTCTTTTTCAGGCTCGCATTTAAAGCAAAACATTTTTTGAAGGTTTGCTTCAAAGAAACTGCTTCCAGCAGCGAAAATTCTAGCGTTATGGACGAACTCGATGAAATTTTGGAGGAAATGGACGACGATAGCAGCACAGGTCCTACTCCTCCAAAACATGGACGTCACGTTTCACCTAAAGTAAATATTCAGGAAACCAAAAATTTAACAATGTGGTTCTGGGATAATTAATAGCATAGTTTCATGCATGAAGCCAATTAGAAATGGGTCATTATTTCTCATTCTATTTGTTCATATTTCACACTCATTTGGTAGTTGGTACAGAGTCATTTCAACCAATAAAGTGTGTTTGATATTAGACACTAGACGAAGCATATTTCATTGTATATTGTACTAAACTGAACTCAAAAAGGTTTTCGAATAAGTATCTACCTATGTCACATTATCCAACATATCACCCATATTATATTTACTTTCATTCCATTCCTAAACTTGTATTATTTATAAAGTAAATAAAATATTTAATTTTCTTCTAGCACACTAAGCCTCAGCCGTCCAACTCGTTCCACTATAAAAGCTTCAATTCTTCTTCAAGTTCAAGCTCTGCTTCCACACAAAAATCTTCGAACTTTCAGTCACCGAATAAATCCATTATTTCTCCTAGACAGTCCACAGATCTTCCTGTGGTGGTAGATGGAGAAAATGTCATGTCTTTGACGCATACAGTCAGCTTTTATCGGAAACAACAAAACGAGGTGAGAATTTTAGCAGCTTAGGTTGCTTGTCGAGGATTTAATATAGCTCCCTATTATACACGGGAAATAATTTATTTTCTCATTGCTTAATTTAAAAGAAAAAAAACTCTTCTTCAGGTACATACCCCAGTTAGACAAATTGTTAGACAGCCGATAATAGAAGAAGCTCCAGAAACTGATCAAGTTAACAACGAAGAAGTGGAAGAGAAGATTAAACAATTGAAAGAAGAAGTGAACAGGCAACAGAATATTATTTCACAGACCAGCCAGGCTTTGAATCTGTGCAGCAGTACTCCAGAGTTTTTTGGATCTACTGAACAAGTTGAAGCTGAGAGGGTACTACTTGTTGCAAGTAAGAATGATTTCAATCAAAGCTCATTAGTAGTTCTTACCATTACCTCTTTATTATATTTTTAAGCTTCTACTAACCGAACAACAAACTATGTACTACTCTTATCCTAAAATTATAGCTAATATATGGAATTTTAATTAACACTGATTAAATGTGATATTTTTTCTCTCCGCTAGCACATCGTCGTCAATCGGCTCTTCACGAACTGCAACGTTTGAAAATAGAAGGCACTCCAAGACCACTAAGTGACCATTCTCAAAACGTACCATTAGAAAAAGGTACCCTGACTCTTTCCAACATAGTTCTGCCCATGAAACAGAAATACGTTACTGCCCTCGCTGCGGCTGGAGGCAAAGGTCACCATGTAGTCTGTCTCATAAAATGTCAGGAGCAAGTTGTAGCAACTAAATTAGTGTCTACTGTGGCTAGTAACAGCAAAAATCCTGATGTAGATTTATACGTTCCTGGAACAGTTACTTTAAATAACATTCATAGCGATTTTACAGTCACCTTTGAAGTTTACTGTCTTCAAGCACAAGAGGAATGTCTTCCTCATGAAGTCAAATATCACATTAATAAAAAATCCTCTAAGGGCCTCACTCCGAAGAAAAACAAACAAGATTCCAGGCTAGTAAAGCCACCGAAAGAGTCACCAGGAGGGCCCAATGCTGTCAGGACTTCTTCGTTTGCCCTTATGGGCTATGTAGTATTTTCCGTACAAGCTGTCAATAAAAAAGTTTGGACTTTAAATAATACTCCATCAATGAGCCCTCTAGAAGGCAATGTAGAAATGAAAATTCAATGTGAATTGGCTGTTTCAGTTGAGCACAAAGCTTTTCTAACAATGTTTGAAGATGTTTCTGGATTTGGAGCTTGGCACAGAAGGTGGTGTTTGTTGAAGGGAGATTCTATGAGTTATTGGAAATATCCTGAAGATGAGAAAAAAACGGTAAGAAATTTAAAATTAAAAAGCCTAAGTGAGGATTAAAATAATTCGTTTCTTCTTAGGCTCCAATTGACACAATCGACCTCAAAAACTGCATAACAAAACAAGTGGGTCCAGTAAGTAGGGAAATATGTGCACGACAGCACACATTTTTGTTAGAGAGGGAAAGGCCGGCCTATCCTAAAGACAAAGACACATTGGTGATGGTGCGAAAAGGCGATAAGACGATCATCAGGCATTTACTTTCGGCAGACACAAAGGAAGAAAGAATCGAGTGGTGTCAAAAACTAAACGCAGCACTCGGCGCCCTTAAAATGTGGGGTAACAACCAGCAATAATTATTTACTTCAATATAATATTTTATCAATTATGACGTAATCATTATTATTTAATTAGTATTGTTTAGCCAAATTAAACTTTTTTTTTTGGTGCATGTTTAGGAGTGATACATTGATTTGTCCAAAGGGCAAATTTGAAAACATGCGAAAAAAACGAATGTATTTTTTTTTTTTTGATTAATCCACCGCTTTTTTTCTACTAATTCCAATATATTACACAATATATCAGAATCACTATAATTTTTAGAGTTAAGTGGTCATATTTAACATAAGAGTCTTCAATGTATTTTTACATTTATATGTAGTGTAGATAGATAACAATAATAATAATTTATACAGTTAAAATATATATATTTTTTTTCATATTGACCCATATTTTGCATTACTACTTGTAGTTTGAATAAAACAGGACATATCAAAGCCTAAATAAATATTTATTTACAAACTTTGTGGATGAGTCCAGATTGACATTGTTCCAGAATGATGGGCATGTATTAGTATGGAGAAAACGGTCAAAGGGGTGCAGAATAATATATGGACGTAACGGAGGTTTTTGATGGAGTTGGTAGTTTGAGGGGGGATTTATCGGAATGTGAAGGTTGAATTATTCTTTTAATGAGAAAAAGTATGAATGCAGAAAGATACAACGAAATGTATTGTTGGTTTACAGTGCTGTGGGGTGGTCACTGATGATGATCCTCCACTGCCTGTGAACCAACATTATCCAGCAATAAGCATAAGTATTGATAGAGAGTGTGAATGGACTGAGTGAAGTAAATTAAAACAACAAATAAATAATTCAATATAAATTTATTAGGCAACAATATGTTTCAAATTCAACCTTTTTCAACATCAAAAAATTATTCATAAAATAAAATAATAATAATTAATAAATTACAAAGCATTTTTTCTATTCCTCTTTGCTTTAGCCCCTTTAAGCGCTCCACTTTTAGCCCCTTTAACTATACCCTTCAACTGTCCGATCCCTTTGGCTTTCTTCCTTTTATTTAAATTACTCCTCTGTAAAGGAACATAAGCATAAGGGTCCAGCTTTTTGCCCTTTTTCTTGGCATCTCCTGCTGCTTTTTTGCTTTTATATTCACTCCCTATCGAAAATCCACTTTTGACCGAGGCACTTGAAGTCGTGGGTCTATGAATTCCTATTCCTCCAGTTTTATATTTTGATGGTGGAGCTGTTGAAACAGAACTAAACCCACTTTTAACTGAACTAGCGCGTTTTCTTTTACGGTTGGCCAAAAGCAATGTCTCAGCTACACTAGCGGCTTCATCTTCACTATCGGAACTATCAGATTTCAACTTACTTTTTCCATTATCGCTGTCTTCATCGTCACTGTCATCTTTAATAATAAGACGCCCATCTGTGGAAGTTTTGAAGCCTCTATTTTGTTCTTTAGGTTTTTTGGCTTGTAGCTGGGCTAGAGCTTGACTAGGTTTTGTAGCACTAATTTTACTCGCTGTAGAAGGATCTATGAAATCTACAATAGTGTCGGCGTCTTCTTCAATCCATGTTTTGGCTTGCTTATTTTTTGGTTTTGGTTCTTTATAATCCATATTGTCCGAGTCCGAGTCACTATCAGCCAAAATTTCTTCTACCGATTTTGGTTTGGATTTAACAATGAAATCTTCAATATTATCTTCTTCATCTTCATTAATTTTTTCCTTTCTGTCTTTTTTCATTTTTTGTTTTCTGTCATTTAGCTTCCTCAAATTTTTAATTCTTTTACACATAATTTGATCATTTTGAGGCACAAAAGGGGTAATACTTTCCGCCCCGTATTTTCTCACTAATCTATCCAAAATGTCTCGCACTTTCAATCGAAAATGCCTTTTGCAATCTTCTGTCATTCCTGTTAGCGCTTTCATAACATTTTCCAATGAAACTTGAACCATTAAACTAGGCAAAGTGGTACAATAAACTTTTATGAAACTGAGACATGTAGCTACAATTTCTCTTGTGGTAGAACTAGCCAACTTAGCAACATTTTCCAAAATTAATTTGATGTTTGATTGTCCTAAAGCTCCAGAAAAATTATGCAATGCTGAAGCTAAAGCTAAAATTGTGCATGAAATCATTTGTGGGGTTCCCGCAAGGCCTCCAGTGAGCATTATAAGGTACTCCTGCATTTGGTTTTTGGTCAATAGAATTTCTCCAATAGTGTTCAATAAATCATAAGCGGTTTGTCTGCATTTTTCGTTGATATCTTTACAACACAATACAGCTTCAGGTATTACTGATTGGATTAATTTACTTTCGTGGTCTAAATTAGGTTGTGATTTAATCAAATAATTCAAACACCTTAGCCTGGCACCTTTACTTGAAATTGCAGCAGATTCTAAACTTTTTCTTAGCAAATATTGAACGGCTTTTCTATTGTTTTTGATAAATTCTTTGCAGCCTTCTGAGTTGCTGGAAACAATCTCTTCTAGGATTCTATAAGCTTTTTTCTGTTCCTTATTATTTTTAATCTCTGGAAGATTTTTAACACATTGTTGATATATTGTTTCGATACTTTCAGCTGTCTGATATGGAATCAAGGCTCTAATTAAATCCAGAATTGATTCTTTGATGAAATGGTCTTCAGGCTCGTCACTAGAGGCATTAAGCCTCTCCAAACCATTAGTGAACAATTGTTGAGTCAACTCAGGTCTGGCAATACTTAAATACATTTTAATCGTTTCTAGTGAAGCAAGACGTTGGCCTTCTTCGTCAGAACCAATAGGTTTGGTTGTGTAAACGTTGAAAAGAATCGGAAGATAGTTTTTGTCAAAACGTGATATTTCTTCGAGGTCTTCTTTGTTTTCGTTTTCTTTGGCTCCTTGAATCAGTTTTCTTAAAGCTGACATAACTGAGAGACGGAGCTCTTTTCTATCAGAAATCGCCATACCTAGAGGACATTATAAAAAAATGTATGAGTGGGAGTGGAAAAATAAACTACTTTCTTTATTATTATTTTAGAAATCTTTGTTTTGTCAGTACCTAATCTCCGAGGTAATCTCTCAAATTTATAACAACTTATTTTCATTTTGAGTATTTTGAAAGTATACCTACAAGAAGTATTATTTCAAACAAAAACAATATGAACGCATTAACGAAAATTGAATTAAGCACAGCAAACCTATGAAATGGCACAGACAACAAATAGTAAAAATTCCGTAAGGAAATCCAGGAATATTGAAAATTCAAAGGCATCACACACAACCACTTAAAAGTATACTGGCTGTTTGTGGTTGTCTTGTAGCAAGGATCCCTGTTCTTCGACTCCAACCATATACATTTTCACCGTCGGAAGAGAAAACTCAATAAAACGAATGAAATCGTGTCTAAATGTTCTTTTAAAATTAATTATTACAAAAGCTTGGTTGGAACGTGTCTGTCAACTCGGTACTCAATTTTATCATCGCTGGTCTGTTTCAGCTCGCATGTGCTACCTACACGAAAGCAGCTGTGTGTTGAGCGGGAAATTAAAGAGGTCTTCAGTCTGACCATTTTTGAGTTTTGAATTAATGAAAGTAAATTATGCGTGAACAAACGAGATGGATGAAGAAAAAAAAACTCATTACATCACTAGTGCTGTAGCGAACCCTAGCATGTAACTTGAATTACCCAAAACAGGCTTATCTTATGAAGAATAACCATCATTATCTATTACCAAATTCAGCAGTGTTTTAAATAAAAATTCTGGATTTAATTTTTCATCAAAATCTTACCTAAAAGTTTCGCCATGCTCTTAAACTCGCTCTTAATGTCAGTAGGATGATTGGCAAAGCAAGGCAACAAATTCCACAACTGTAAATACAAAAGTTCACTGCTGTGAGCTCCAATACCATTGTTCGCTTGCGCCAACTCAGTGGCTCTCTGCTGACAAAATCTTGCCAAAGGAAATATGCTTTCCCTGAAGTAATTCAGAGTAGAACATTTAATGTTTTCTTTTAAAACTGGGAGGAGCCATGATCTATCAATGTTCAGTTCACCGTTGTCCCTTTTCAGTGGAATGATTTCCAGTACTTTTTCTGGACCCATTGAACGAATAGCTGCACCAACAGCATATTCTAACTCATTGTTATAGCTAAAAATATTAAAATAAAAGCACCAAAATTTAAAAAAATCCTCAACTCACCTAAACTTATAAGAATCTCTCAATTCAGCTAGACTTTTCAAAGTTTCTCCAAACATATTGCTACAATAAGCTCCAGCAACTTCAAACATAACACCAATAACGTGCAAAACTTGATGCCAAGCAACATTATATTGATAACTCAAGCTCGAATGTATAACGTTGAAGCATTTTTCCAACTTCGATAGGTGCTGCTTGACAGATTCAGGAGATTCACATGCTGGGCCAAGAGCATCTTTCAAAAGCACTTCTAGACAATGTGTAGCTCCTGTCATAACTTCTGCGCGGCCACTGAGCCACATTTGGGTAACATTCATAAAAAATTTAGGCATTAACTTTATGGCCATAGCAATATCTACGTCGGCTAAATGAACATGAGCTTCTTGCATCACTAAAACCCAAGCTAATGTGGGTTGTACGTCAGTATTGCTTGGCTGGTATTCATAAAGTGCTGCTATAAGTTTTGTGTTCAAATCACTTGAAATTACAGATTTTTGCGCTGAGAATAGCGAGTGTAATACTTGTAAGCCACAAGAAGTGACTATGGGATAATTTAAAGTCATTAGTCTCAATATAGTTTCACAAGATTTTTTTATATGACTCTTTGAAAAACTTTGTATAGTTTCTTTAAGTAAGCCCAATGTGTGCAATATAGTTGTTTGTCCTGACTGTATAGAATTAACAGCAATTTTTCCTGAAGCTCCTCCAATACAATTCTCCAAAATGCCTTGACAAAATTCAGCACATTTATCAGCTGCAGCATTAACTGAAGCATTTTCAAAGCATGCTGATTTAACTATAGCAGCAGCAGCATGTTGGGCTGCTTTACGCCATTTTGGCTTAGAGTGAATGCAGAAAGGATTTAAAATAGCATTAAATATTTGCTTGGTGAGATCGTGACTCCATAAAGCCAGTTCTTGAGCTCTCAAAACTGCTTGCAGAATTCCTATAGTGGATTTTATTATCACATTATTTTCAGCAGAAGCAAAATCTTTTAGGACATGAAGCATTTTTAGAGTGACATCATTGAAATTTTTTCTCAATACAGCATCAGGCACTGATTTGATGCCCATATTCAATAAAGCTAAGACAGCAGTAATTTGATCTTCATTTTTCTCTTCACTGTTGTAAATTGTTTCTAGAGTAGTCAAAAGTGAGCAATAATATTCTGTTGAAGACTCAGTTCCACCGTTTTGCTTAATAACTTCAGTAATAGCCGCTAGAATTGCAAGCATTTCTTTATGCAAGGCCGAGTCAGAATGAAAACTTTTCATAAATTTTCCATAAGACATGTTACTACATTCAGACCACTCGGAGGCAAATGATTGCATGGAACTATAAGATCCCCCAAAACTACTCTCAGATTCCACACCATCACTAATGTCGTCCATAGGAACATCTCTAGGTTTGGGTTCTTTGAATAACTGCAATGCATCATGTTTTTTAAGTTTATCTGCAGTAAGAGAGCTAGGCCCTAAATTCTCCTGGAAAAATCTGCCTCTGGCTTGATCTCTGTACCTATGAGTTTCAGGGTTCGAGCTGGAACTCTGGCCTTTAGCCCATCGTTTTCCTTTGCTTTGGCCCTTCAATTTACTACGGAACTTGCCCATGATGTTTTGGAATCTAAAATTATTTGATTTTAGAATCTGACGGTTCTAAAATTTAAGTTTAGGTACTTACTAAATGGTGATACTTTCGAAGTTCACACTGTTGTATTGTATCACGAATTAAATGTCCAAATAATTAATTGAATTCACTTTAAAATGAATCAAATCAACAACAAATATCAAGATAATTTGAGGTTAGATAAGAAATTTTGACAGCCGTCATTCAGCACGTGTTAGGAGAGTGCGTTCATCCTGCTCCGGTTTAACATTAACATACTTTAACTAATCTCTCGAACGAGGCTACTTATTTCGATACATTCAGTGCCAGAACTTTTGCTCTCATTTGACAGCCGTTAAAAATAATCAGGGGTTAGAATGTGCTCTGACCACATCATACTTATAAACCTTGGCCCATGCAAAACTCTGAGAGCAAAAGTATCGGCCCTCAGATGCTGTGCAGAGGTTGTTACATACCAAAGAAAATACTACTAAAGGATTGCTTATCGACTACATTTCTGGGAATCACGGTCATATGGTACCATTGGCACGTCATCAACTAGTCGTCAACTGTTTGCGCCAACGGTCGTAGTGTAGCTTCGAAATAAAAATATTCATTTATGATGAAAATTATTACTTTAATTTTTAAGGATTAAGGATGTGTTTTTTGGAGTCCGAGTCTGCATTTTCACCCAAGATTTCTAAAATCTGTTTTTTTTTTAAAGATAAAAGTCAAAATGACATTATGTTGGCAATACAATGTAAAATTGTCAATGTTTTCAAATTTATTATGTAGAAAAGGCTTGTGTTGCCAACATAGTTACTAAATTTTTGATAGGGAATTATCTTTAAAAAAAAAACAGACTTTAGTTTATTGTTGATTCTTATCGATATTTTCCAAACAGCCCCATTTTCTTTTGTGTACTGCTATGGCTTTGGAAAATATGTTTAAATAGCTAAAACTATCCAGCTAACAAATAAATGATAAAATTCAGGATTGTTTATTTGTCTTATCATGGAAAATACGTTCGGTTTGGTTAGGGAGACCCTTTATGACGTCTTCCGGCGTGGCTCGCTCAACACAATGCAGGTAATGGCAATAATGGGTAACGATGACGCGTCTGGGTTGCCTGGGCTGCGTTCAGGAATGACTACAGCCAAGCCAAAATTGGCATTTTGCGTTCGATTTCGGCTCCAACCTACGTGGTTCGGCATTACAGGTGGAGGGGGAAAAGTAGGTTTTGGCATTTGATTGCCGTCCTTGAACGAGGCAACCTATAGTTCTTTTCACGTGGCTCCGGTTTAACTAACCGGGTTACAAAACGGTTAGAGAAATGACATACCGTTTTCTAACCCGGTTACAAAGTGACGTGATGGATACCTACCACTCGAATTTGAGCGGTATGTTGCGGTTTGTTAAACCGGAGCCACGTGAAAAGAGTTTATGAACTTTAGGAACCTTGAAGGGACCTACCTTTTCACTTGTATTGTCAAATCAGACGTAACTTGATTTTCAAGCGTTCGAGTGCAAAGCGCATAGAGCATGATGGATGTGAAGTGTTCTAGGAAAACGACACACTGCCTGCGTCATTACTGATACTTTGGCATTGTGAGGGGCTTGAGATTTGAACTATACAGGCCTTCTGAGGATAGGCTATCCTGTAGTCGTAGTGTGTTTTATCCTTGGTGAAGGTAAAATACTGAAATTTTTTTTCTCGTTACCTATTTCACATTTTCAGTATTTGGCGGACTATTAAAATCATCAGAAGCAAGAAACGACTTCAAAAAACAAAAATCAAAGCCTATAGGCGGTTACACACGGACGTGGATGTCTGAAAACATGTACGCATATACATGAACGCGCAAACAAAAACATCAATGTGTATGCCGTTGCGTTTTTGAACGTGCAATTTTGTATGCACACGCGGAACACTGTAGCAAGAATAGCAAGACTGCAGTTTTGTGCGAGCGTCTGTACAAAAGCGCCATGCACGTTCTTGTTTGCACGTTGATGTATGCACGTATATGTATTGAGACATCCACGTCCGTGTGTAACCGCCCTATCATCAAAATCTCATAAAATAGGACGTGGCAACTTCATTTCTGAGAAACAGTATGATTATGATACCCTTTCTGTAACCTGTAACTAAGCCTGTTACCATTGACCTGTAATTGTAAACACGATATGCCGTGCTTTCGGGATTTTGATCTGAGCTCTCCGAGCCTGAATTTATCGTTCAATTATTGAAAAAGTGTACTCCGTGCAGACTCATTCGCGTTCGTTTATTCAAATTTCGGGCACTCTACCTACACTGCGTTCAACTGCTCTTGTCCTCCGCTGCTCACGTGATCACGGTTCCGCTCAACACGTTCTCTTCTTTGAGCAGGATGAAGGAAACACTTAAGGCGGGTATTATAAAACTGCTTCGACAGTTAACTTGACGTTAACTTTTTGAATTACATGTAATTCCAGAAGTTAACTTTAAGTTAACTCTCAAAGTAGTTTTATAATACCCGCCCTTAAGGTGTTTTCGGAAGGTGTGATCGGAGTGATCCTCCCTCTATTTTCATTTGAATCTGCTGATCTGCTCCAAGCGAAATTTACCAAATATATTCTAATTTTTTTAACTGTAAAAATAAAATAAGAATAAATTGTCAAAGTAATTTAGAACAACTTTGAAAAATTTTAATTTAGTATTTATGGTGATACTGTTCATTTCTCAGCACTGTCCCTCCCTGTCATTTCCGGTAAAAATAAGTTGCAACTGGTGGCTGTGGCTGATTACTTACAAGAATTTGCCTGTCTCAAACTATCAATAAGTACAACTAAATCACTACAACGGGTATTATAAAAAATAACTAAAAGTTAACTTCTGGAATAAGGTCACTTCTCCATAGTCATCCCCATAGGGTTCCTGAAGTTGATATAGGTTTTCTGGTAATGGGTAACTTGATGACGCATGTCTGGGGTGCCTCATGGAGATTTGCATTAGGTTGAGGCACCCCAGATGACGTCATAAAGTTATCCAGGCAACCTAACTCTTTCAAGCAACCTTGATTCATCAGTCATCCCAGAAGTTAACTTTTAGTTATTGGTCAAAATAGATAGATTGCCTACTCTAATATCCAGACAGCACACAAAGTCTTAAAGACTTTTTTTTTAGGTCCTGCATTAAGCCTGAACAGTGGCGTAGTGAAGATGCTCCGGGCCCGTGTTCCAAAATTTTACCGGGCCCCTACTTCTGCGAGTTAAAAAAATAAAAATCTGAGAAATATATATATATATAAATGGAAGATATTTTCTGGGGTATCAGTCTGGGTCTAAATAAAAGTCTTAAAACTTTTTAGCTACGCCGAGCTTTCGATATTTATTTGTATAAATATTATTCTTTTTATATAGCCCTGAAGAAGAAAATAAAAATTTTCGAAAGCTCGGCGTAGCTAAAAAGTTTTAAGACTTTTATTTAGACCCAGACTGATACCCCAGAAAATATCTTCCATTTATAAGTTGCCAGTCACGAATACCTACACTATATATATATATATATATATTTTTTTTTAAAAATATACAGGGTGAACCTAAAGTATGGAACATATTCGATATCAATTAAATGAAGGTATTTTGGAAAAACCGTTCGGACACGTCGATTTTTTTTTTGCTTAAGATTTTTTCACACCATTTTTTTTATACAGGTTGTTCCAAGAACAGCTGTGCCGTTATCAACTTTATTTTTTTAAATTGTATCCTCTGTATCACGAACTCGCCGGATTCTGCGGATAATTCAAGACATATTTCATGTGCAATGTCATGCCAGAAATACCCTAAGGGCCAGTTTCTCAATAGCAAGTCACCCCCGGGTTAGGTATAACTCCGAAACATTGCACTTCACACGCTCACCCTGGAGTTAAAACCAACCCGGAGGTGACTCGCTATTGATAAACCGGCCCTTAATGTTAAAGCTCAACTCACCTAATTAGAGGCCAGCACAACAAACCATACCGCAGGGATTGCAGGATCTTGAGTTGGCATACCTGGCAATCCTGGCTACTATAGAGTGGTTCGGCCGTACCAAGGAATTATGAAGATATACGATACGCGACAAGCAGTAGAATAAAAATGTTTTCATAAAAGAATAGAAGAAATGAAGAAATCATTAAAAGTCTACATAAAAAAAAAGAAATGAAGACTTTACTTACGTAGATATTATTTTTATATGAATTAGCGTCAAAGGCGTAAAATGTATTTTTTCTACTACCGTGCGTAAAGTACTCACTTTACGCACTATTCAGAAGACGTAAAATTGCACTTCACGCACAAGGGGTAAAGTAATTTACTTCACACACTAGTGCGTAAAGTAATGTCAATGAAAGATTTTGACACTGTCAATTTGGCATTTTTCTGGTAAATTACTTCACGCACTAGTGCGTAAAGTGAAAATTATTTACGCACTAGTGCGTAAAGCATTTGTCTAAATTTATTTTATTACACATATTTGATTGGTAGTAGAAAAAAAAATGTATGCAATTCGTGCATAAAGTACCTACCTTTTTTCACTCATGTGATTGTCAAAATTCACATTCGTGAAAAAAGGTTCACTTCACGCACTTGTTGCATAAATAACTATTTTTTACCTTGCAGGAAAAAAATCACATTGACATTGAGAACCGGGCCCCTTGAGGTACCGGGCCCGTGTTCCGTGGAACACGCGGAACACCGGTGACTACGCTCCTGAGCCTGAAGACAAAAAAAAAGACGTCTTGAAGACGATGTTTTGGAAATGTCCATAAGATGTCGTCAATTCACATCTTAATAAAGATAACTGGTACCACCAGGTCTAAAACTGAATAATGGTTTACTTATTGAAAAGAGATTCAAATACGCCTTTGAGACACCTCGTTGAAGACACGTCCTTAGAATGTCTTATTCCTAAAGACGTCTTTAAGCAGAAGTTTGGAAGACGTTGAGTTTTATAACATACGACGTGTTCAAGATGTCGTTTGCAAGACGTGAGCAAGACTTCTCGTTTCGTGGACATCAGTCTCGTTCTCAGAGCTTTGTTCTGTCGCTGCGACACATCCCCTCTTTTCCCTTAGGGACGTCTTTGAAATGTCTCATTTAATTTATAGAAGTTAGGTACTTGAAACCATTTTAGAGTGCTACAGAACACTTTAGAACTCTAATAAGCCTTTTGGGAAGTTCAAAACATTTAAAACTCAGTTCAGAATTTCCAATTCTCTGAAGCGCTTCAAAACATTTTGGAAATTTCAGAACCATTTTAGAATGCCCCAAAATTGAAATACAGTTCAAATTTACACCAATTGAGAATTTGACGATTCAATTCAGAACTGGAAACCTTTAGAACTCTTCAAGCCAAGTTAGAACACTTTAAAACTACGATAAACCACTAAGGGCGGGTATTATAAAACTGCTTTGACAGTTAACTTGAAGTTAACTTTTTGAATTACATGTAATTCCAGAAGTTAACTTTAAGTTAACTCTCAAAGTAGTTTTATAATACCCGCCCTAAAAATGTTCCAGAATACTTGCCAGCAGCATT